AGGTAGTAGGTAGTAGGTAGTAGGTAGTAGGTAGTAGGTAGTAGGTATATAGTAGGTAGTGGTAGTCGTAGTCGTAGTCGTAGTAGTAGTAGTGGTGGTGGCGGTGGTGGTGGTAGTAGTAGTAGTAATAATAATGGTAGTAGTAAGGGCCGCGGCAGTAGTAGTGGTAGTCGCAGTAGCAGCAGCAGTAGTGGTAGTAGTAGTCACAATAACCGATCCTCTGAGTGCCCAGGTGCATACCGATCCTCTGGGCACCGCGGCCTGGAATGCCGGAAGCTTCGTGGCGCACGCCGCGCGTCGCGTTTTGGCTCGCTCCGGCTCGCTCCGGTCCTCGGTGCGCCGAGGCGGTGACGCATGGAGTGAAGCGGTGGGTGCTCTTCGAGCCCAGCACACCCAAGAGGATTGCCCCTTGCCGGATTTGACCTGAGACCTCCTGAGACCTCTCGAGACCTCTTGAGACTGGGCAAGGTTTTTGCCTGAAACAATCTTTCGAAGGAAGGTATTGCGGTTAGTTGGGTTGGTCTTTTTGGATGATGGACAGGTCCTTGGGGCTTTGAGATTCTTGCGTTCCAAAGGCTTCAACCTGGCTTTGGGCATCTGAGGCAAAGGCCAAAGATATGGTGCAGAAAGGCCTAAGATCCCATGGGGCGGGCCTGGTGGGAGCAATACGAAACCATGACAGGTGGAATGCAGAAGGTTCTCACTTTCACCTAGGATTGAGGACCTACATGGGTGCTCACTTTGTATTCTGCCGGCCGAAGTGGGGCCAACCATGCCCCCCAAGACCGGCCAGGTGAAGATACGGAGGCGATCATGTACTTCGACTTCCTACTGCCGCGCCTGAAAGAAGCCTATCCTGATGCTCGAGTCCTCAGTTCCTCAGTTCCTCACCTTAGCGCTAGTCCTCGATGTCCCAAGTTCCGATCGATCCGCACACGTGCAAAAAACGGCTCATCGCCCACGTTCCACCTCAACCGATTGGCCGAATTCCAACGTGGCCGTTGTCCGGGTGCTACGAAACTCGAGGTCCGATGCTACGAAGGCTTGCAGCATCCGGGCGACCTCATCTTCGTGCCTGGGGACCGTTCCGTGCGATCGCACCGCCTCTGCATGCGTTCTGCATGCGTTTGGGAGCTTTCCGGTTGGGAAGGTGTACAGTTTTGGTTACGCAGCAGAGGTGGGAGCACTCCAAGAGTGACAAGAGTGTGGGGAGATGAGCGGCACATGAGGGTTTGCTGGCTTTGGTGTTCCGAAAAGTAGAAGTGAAGCACCAGGCTTTTGGCAGTTGGAGTAACTTTGGCCAGATGAAAGCTGCCATCAACCTCATTTGGGTGGTGTTTTGTGTGTTTGCCTTCCCTCCGGAGGACTGGTGGCATGGGGTTCTGAACTTAGAGGCAGGTATCGGCCGTCGTGACCGGCTGTTGGTGTTGAATCTGAGGAAGAGTTCTGTAGTTCTACTCCAAATCAGCGTCTTCTACGACCAATTTTAAGTTGCTCTCCCAAGTTGGGCCCACGACGTTTGTCAGGTATGTCAGGGGTCACATCTTTGATTTTGGGTCCCATGATTTAGTGAACTCATTCCTCCTTGGTGTTGCCCACGATTGTGGGTGGCTTCGACCTGCCAAGGATTGTGTTGCCGTCACGCAGAATTATTGAATCTGGGCAGCAAGGTTGAGGGATATTGGTGGGCAAGCAGCGACACGAAGCGACCCACTCTTGAACCAGAGGTTGGAGATGGCTCAAGAGTCAAGACGGACATAAATTTGTCGCAGTAGCGCACGGTTGACCCAAAAATGGGTGCGGCAGCCAGCGTGAAGATGCGTGAGCTAGAAGAAACCCGAGATGCTCCGAAGCAGAACTGCCTAAAGGTGCCACCTCAAAGGAGCTATCGAGTACTTTCTCTTGAAGATGAGGTCCTGCAAAAAGCAGTCGCTGAGGCCCACGTGAATGCAACCGAAAACAGTGAGAATTCCCCTTGCGACCCGACGACAAGGGATCTTCCACGAGAGCGGAGTTTCAGAGTCGTTTCATTTGACATGGAAGGCCTTGGAACTGTACACATACAGAGCAGTGACAGTGACCCCGACGGACTGGTTATGTCTACGGCGTCACCGTCTCCAAAGTGAAAGCTCACTATCTGACCCTGAACAGACACGTCAAGTACTACGACTGACGTGCTTTCACTGGGACACGAAGACGTGAGCCGCCAATCAACATATGTTTGCGCCCGTGATTTTTCATGCTAAAGAAACCATGTGCTGTTTGGTTCAGAATGTGCCCGAGTGGTTGCTGACTTGCTCTTCTTGTTGTTCTAGAAAACAGAGTTGGGCGTGAAAATCTTCTCAAAGTTTGTGTGGCTTTGCTAAACAGCAATGCTTACCCAGAGCATCCTCTAGACTTTCTTGTGCAGCTTCAACACAAAGTCTGGGAGGTTTTTGGCTTTTGGCGTATTCCGAAAGAGAGAGAGGGGGAAAGAAAGATATTTCTGGCAGCATTGCAATTTGTTTGCCACAAAAAAGGCAGAAGAGTCCGATGACCGACGAGGAAGACATCGCCAAGAGCGACCCGGATAGAAAACATGTTGTTTTCAGATTTCTCATGCGTGATGGGAAAAGTCCGTGGTCCAGGCCATTTTCTTTGGTGCAGGAGGGCGGGTTTTTCTGGTGAAGTCGATTAGGAGGAAGTCATGTCGTGTTATGAGGAAGTGTTGGGAGTTGTTTCGTTTCTTGTTTTGGGGGTTCTCTTTGTTTTCAGATCAGTGGTATTGGGTCCATTCTTTGTCCATTCTTCGGCTGAGTAAGTTATACTCTTCGCCTCTTGGGAGCTGAAAAGACAATGCCCCTTGCTCCTAGTAGCTTCTGGTTCCTAGTAGTAAGGCCAGGAGCTACTAGTAGCGTCCTTGCTCCTAGTAGCGATGCCCTTTGCTCCTAGTAGCTTCTTGTCCCTACTAATGCCAAGGTGGCCCAGACAATTTTGACAGCGTCTGGTGCCGCGCTCGCAAAGACCGGGAGAAGGTGCGAGCGGCAGTGGGTGGCTTTCAACCAAAGAGTGGCATCGGTTCAGGAATTCGCATATGATATATACAATATATATATATATACACATGGTATGCACAATAGATTAAAAAAAAATATATATATGTACACGTAGATAAGTGCAAGCGGCCCCTTCTCACTGTGGAACCTTTCTGGCAATCGAGTGGAAAAGAGGCTGGACAACGACGTACATATACAAACAAATAGTAGAAAAAACACACACACACATACATGCACAGCGCATGTATATACAAATATCCATTCGAAGGGAATCAGGGTCGCTCTTTTAGCGGCCTTTTGACCCCGCTCTGTTCATGCTTGGAAACAAAGCCAGTGTGACATGAACAGAGCAACCAAACTTGCTCTTGGACACGTGGATGGAACCGAAGTCCAAACATGACAAGTCTGATCAATCCTTGACGAAAACTGTTGACAGGTGGCCTACCTCTGGTGGCGAAACATGAGGAAGTTTGCGCCGAGGCGGGTTCTTCTCCTTTCATGGTAGGTTCTGGTTCTTCTCCTATCTATGTCAAGGGTGTATCGAACAGGGAGACCCCCCAGCCAAAAAGTTTACACATCTACCTTTTCTATTTACATACACACCCATACTTAGGCCAATACAGCAGAACATGAAACATAGTCCAAGGGGGTCAGGGCCGAGGCAGTTTTGTACAGCAAGTTCTTGCATGGTGAGCAAGTTCTTGCCTGGCCGAAGAATGCGACTTGCTCTCTGATATCCCAACAGACTGAGCTAGACAGCTACTCCTCAATCTCCCCTGTTGTTGTTTTCTTTCTTTCCTCTGCGTATCCTGCTGCGTTGTATGCTAGAACGGTTTGAAGGGATTTGGATGATAGAGACATGCTCGAAAGCGACTTTTTAGCTCTTGCTCGTTCAAAGTCGTTTTGAGGAGCATCAAGGTGAAAGCGCCTGAGTGGCCAATCAACCATAGGCACTCCCTCTCTATGTGGTGTAAGGATGTACATGTAGATATGTACATGTATATATGAAAATATGTATATATATATATGTATGTATGTATATTTGTATATCTGTATATGTGTATACGTGTAGATGTACTAATGTACACAATATGTATATATTCATGTATTTGTGTATGTGTGATTTGTGGCTTCTCAGTCAGACATACCAATTCCTAAACCCCTTCTGGAAGTGACCCTTAACAAGTCAACATTGAATAAGCTCCAATTGAAGAAGTTTTTGTCAACGATTCGACCACTCCACACTAAGTGCGGCACTGGTGGAACATGCAAATGAAATCAGACAGTCGGATGTCTGAGTCTCGGCCAGAAACTGCCGGGAAACATGCTATGGGGCTCGGGGGCTTGTTATGGTTCAACCTCCAGGAGATCAATTGATGGGTCTTTTGTATCCTGCAGGCATGGATAAACATTGTGGGTCTTTCAATAAACAACGCCTCCGAACATATCCTAACCTGCTTGTATGTTTCTATTTTTTCCATGAACCCATCAACTACCACATGCTTGTGTGGATCAATCGGTTTGTGGGGCTTCCCTTTCCTTCTTTCTTCCATCGTTTCCAGATCTCTGCACTTGCCGAAGCTGCGGATCGGACGCCAGGCTCTATGCACGAGCGCAAGAGCTCAACCAACGTGACGGTCGCCCCGACGTCAGAGGGTTCGTTTCTTCGTTTCGGCGGCGGCGTGGCTCGGCTCCGTTCGGTGGAGGCGAAAAATCATCATTCCAAGAGGTGTTGGAACCTAATACTTTGTAAGGTGTTTTTGAATGGCTTTTTGGTTCCAAGGGGTTCCGTTGTCTTGGTTCAGTTTTCGGACCTAAGACTGGGAACTTGCCATGATCCGATGGTGCGGCGGAACCCCCGGGGTTCCATAACGTTGGCAAAGGAGGTATGTCGAGACAGCACTTTCAAGGGCCTCAAGAGCATTGAATCCGTGAACCTAACCTCAAAGTAGAGTATGTAGTAGTAGTAGTAGTAGTAGTAGTAGTAGTAGTAGTAGTAGTAGTAGTAGTAGT